AGAGTATGTGTGTATCTCCAGTTAAAATGCAGAAAGTCCTGTCAATACTGATGAGAAAAATATGTTGTATGAGAAATGTCACCTAGTTCTTGAAAAAGAAACTCAAGAATTTCCTAACTGATATCAAAGAATGCACAAAGCTATTGGTCAGAAAAACAAATTAATCTTAAAATAACTAATTCTTTAGGAGTGCACGCCTTCACTCCCACTGATGGATACACTGAAGCAGAGCGGGTAAACAGCCTGACCTGAAGTGTGCAGGTGTGGACATGTGCATCCAGATGGTAAAATCTCATGAGAGGGCTCTACTGACAGATACTCATAGCTATTAGAAATGCAAAAATGGACAGAAGTTATAGTGTTATGAAATATATAATGCCTTGTCTTATGTTATATGGCACAGAACAACTTGTTGGTTTAGATATTTCCGTTTATCCGCACCTTCCAAAAGGGAAATGAGTACCCGCCTTGTTAAAGAACACATCCCAGTATCCAGGATGTATTTTGCAATGTTGCATCAGGACAGTATGTGCAATGGTGTGTAGTTTCTAGTTTGATTGCTACCAAGAGTAAAATCTTCCCCATTTTCAGAAAGGCATGAGGTTAATCACATTTATGAGCATGAACATTATTGCAGTTTGCCAGTCTCTCTTGTCTCACCTGGGCAATTGTGATCCAGCTCACTGCTCACATGTCACTTGACTGCTGATGAAAAGTGTTGAGGTAATGACTATCTGACTATGAGGAAGATGCTTGTGTCACTCAAGATATCCTGCTTGCTCAGCTGCCACTGAAAATTGTGAAGTCAAGGTATCTCCCACAGGCAGCTCAGACATCTCTTTATTACTCCTCTGGCCATCACTAGTTTTCCAAAGGGTAATTCACCTCTGAGAGGCTGGTATAGCCTGTCTTGGTGCACATGAAATAGGACCAGGTACTCTGGAAAGCTTAATGCCTCTTACTTGTAATTGTGCTCTAGAATCTTAATCTTGAGTGTTACTTCCTGTCTAAAATCCTGATCCAATTTCCTGCTTTCTAGACCTAGATCTTGTCCTAGTTCCTCCTACTGAGTGCTAGATCCTAATCTGCCCTTCATGTGTTCAGCCCTGGTTCCTAGATCTTGCCTCTTTCTTTTCCAGCTCCAGTTTCTGCTTTAAATTAACTTGCCTGAACTTGCTGCAGTGTAGACTGCTCATGATGGTGAGGACACTTGCAAACATTGAGACTAAAACTATAACGAGCCAAATGGGATCTTCACTTAACCATGCAAGCCTCAGTTTTCATGAGATTAAAGCATTTTCCAAGGACAGTGACAGTGATTAGACAGTGATAGTCTAATCAAGATATAAGATCTGTAGAAATTCTAGTTCAAGCTACTTGTGAAGGTGTATCACATCTTTCAGCAGATTATCATTAATTGATTTACACATGGTAGAACTATAAATAAAGTGATAAACTTAAAAAAAAAAAATTGTTTACCCATTTCTAAGAGTGCTTCTTCCTTTTGCTGTTTGGCAACACTTCCCCATTCACAAATTATAACCATAAAAAGTCTCTTACCCATTTCACATATTGTGAAGGCAGAGAGATGCTTTTTCCACAAGTTTCCAAAGAAGATTCAGTAAGTTGCTAAGAATGTTTTCTCAGTTGTACAACAGACCCTTTGTATGCAAGTGATCACATATTGTACTTGAAAAAGCTCTGCTGAGAACAAGAGTATGAATAAGGATATTCATTATAACAGGGCCTCTTAACTGGATGTGTCCATCTGGTGGCTGTATTAAAATAATTAACAGGGGCAACTGATGTACGGGGTCTATTTAGCAGAGCATCATTTGGCCAAAAGCAGATTCCAATATAGCTCTAGATGATGGCAAAGGCTGCAATTTCCCAAGCTGGCTTAAGAAACTTACTGTCATCAAATTTTTGGCATGGTTCTATTTCACCCTTCTTCCTGCAGAAAGATAAATTAATTTAAATCCTTGTTAGATTGAATGCTGTTGTTATCGTTTGAACTTTTATTCCTAAAGTTTTAACAATTATGGCTCAGATAGCTCCAAGACTGATTTCTGCCATGAAATGCACAAAGAAAACTTAATTGTTGACTTCTTTCATTGTTGCAATATTGCTTTAGCTGTGCAGGTGGAGAAATGAAAAGAGTGCAGAAATGTTGTGATATTAATAATGACACCTTTGGCTGTCATCATTAAGGCTGTAATGTTTATGAGATAATATATGTAGAAAAGGAAGGCTTAACATTATGTTTCCCTGCTGTTTTGCCCTAAACAAAAGTAGGCTATTTATCATAAGAAACACAGAGTCAAAAATAACAGTGACATTTGTCACTGACAGAAACATATAGGCAACCATCCATTGCTCAATATTTCATCGTCAAAACCAATAATGTAGTGTATTAGGAACTGCTTAAAAAGGCAATTTTCTTATTTTCTCTGTGTACTCGTGTTTCATCTTAGAACTATGGAGCTTCTCTTACAGCCCTACAGCTTATTCAGATAAGCATTGTTTGAAGTACACTGTACTTTGTGAGCTCTGTCTAGCCAATGTATTATTTATTTAAGTGACAAGCACAGTTTGGAGATTTTAGTAAGCAGATCAATATAAAATACTAGACTTGAAGAATGAACTCAAAGGCCCCACCGAAAGGCTTTTATGTAAGAATTCAGCAGTAAAATGTTTAATACAGAAAATCAAGTTAGCACCTTTCAAGAGTGAAGTGGCACAGAACAGAAAAGAATGGATGTATTTTCTTTGAACCCTCCATTTGTAGTGTGCTGTTTACCTGTAAGATTACACTTTCTATTTATAGTCATTACAAGAATTTGAAACAACCATCTAGCAGTAAGATTACTTGACTCAGACTTATTGTTACTATCACAACAGATATTTCTAACTCCTCTGAACCTGATATTCTTAAATAGAAATAGAATCTTAATTCTTTCTTGCTTATCACTCAAAGACTGTCCTGCTGGGTACTCTGCCTACAAGGCTAAGACCTGTCAATTCCTAAACATAATCTTCCTACATCTGAGTATGTTTAGTCCCAGGTTCCTTCCTCCATGAATTTCCAGCCTCTGCTACCTGTAATATTGCCCCCCAGTTGTACCATGAAGACAGGCATATTTTTTAAAATAATTTTTCATGGACATATTCAGAACTTGCTGTCTTTTGGAGAAACACATAATCATTGCAGCTTTTCTGGTGACACTGAGTAGAAGCTCTAGCTGCCAAGCAGTACATAAGAATATGGTTTATAATCTCATTATATACAAAGCAAGAAATAAATAGCAATTAATTATATTTTATAAAGTGTGTATTTAATATATTTATTAAATGCTGACATAGAAGAATGCATGAGATTGTTTTATTTACTGTCACTAAAAGCCACAAAGTGATTCAGAATTTTATTTGCTATAATTATGAAATGTTTAGTTCACATCATAAGAAAACTATCAGAAACAGCAATTCTTCCAGAAGACCCATACAGCCAATAGATGAGCACTCAGAATTTCAACACTCATATGTATTCTAAATTTGAATTACAAAGTAATAAAATACAGATAAAATGTTTGTTCCCATCTTACATGTAAATTCGTTGGGATTAATAATTGACAATATGATCTATATTTTAATGTAACATCTGGAATACACCAATTTATACTGTAGCTGCTTGTTAGACTAGTGATTTTCATGGATCATTCTTTTCTGTTATCTTTTCTGACTTTAGGGTTTCAGTCAGAAGTATGCTGTTTTTCTTTTTCTTCAGTTGTAGTTAAATTTTCATATATGAAAGACACCATGGATGTGTACAATCCCCCCTTTTTACTTCGAAAAACTTAATGAATCAGAAAGCAGAAGAATACTTTTTTCTGCTTGCTTTTGGCACAGACTGATTCATTTCGATGTAGTAGAACAATTATATAATTCTTTCCTTGAAGATATTTTTTAGGGCCAAGGAACCCACCCCAAAATGGCTTCTAAAAATTTTCTTTTACAGTCTAGGACACAAGGGAAATAAGTGATGTCAGCTGGAATGAGAAATTAAAAATATGTTCATGTTCAATGTACCCTTAGTGTACGCACGCACACTCAAAGACATCAACACTCCTCTTTGTTCTCATATTTAATCATGAGCAAATATTGCACTTATTAAACTTTGTTATAACTAGTAAGATACCATAAGATTTGTGGAGAAATGTTTAGCTGAATTGCTAGGCTAAATTGTTCATTAGTCAGGTTTCCCAAAGGAAAAAGCTCAAGCTTTCTCCTCTTTGCTTTCAAATTTTGATCACTGTTTCCCAAGTGGAGAATGGATTTCCTTTGCGATGACCTCGTCATTTAGAATTCATCTTTACAGTCTATTTCTGCCATGGGCATTCGCCCTTTTCTGGCCATGGTGCAGTTCCATGTCCTGCTTCTCCCGTGCCCTCGTTCCCTGCGGTGACCTCACTCCGGGTGGTCTCCGTGTGCCTCCAAACCTGCACAAACGTGAGGAGCAGCTCCTACCCACTGCTGGTGCCACTCCTCAGCAGAAATTATACTGTGTCTAACACGACAAGCACTTTGTAGTGATTATCAGCTTTGATTTTTGTTATTTTCAGCATGTTAAAACAAACTAAACGCTCTAACGCACGTATATTTTCCTGAATGCTTTAACTGCTGACATCTCCTACAGACAACCCTTTATTTATTGTGCCTACTCTTGTGTCTGTGCAGCTCAGCGAACCCACGAGCGCGGTACGATCACCGCGGGCCAGGCTTTTGCCGGGGAGCGTTTTGTGAGGGGCAGCGGCTCTCCCTGCCACTGCTATTGGCCGAAACACGCCCATGGGTGCACAGCCAATGAAGGTAACGACGGGCGGAGCGGACGGGCCGTTCCCCGGCCGTGCCATGTGCCCAAGGCCCCCATCCCAGGAGGAGGAGGACGGGGAGCGGACGAGCAGCCGGAACGCAGCCGGACCTGCCGGGACTGCCCCGCCCGCTCATCCCCCTTGGGCCTCGTCGGCCGCCGTCCGCCTATCCCTCAGGTGAACGCGTATCCCTCCGCCGCGGCCGCCCCTCAGCCGGGCTCGCACCCGGCAGTCCCCGGATGGAAATTGTGATGGCGGCCGGCAGCGCCTCGCCGGACGGTGGCGGTACCCGAGGTAACTCCGCGGGGGTTGTCGGGCGGGGAGCGAGGAGGCCCCGCGCGGGGCGAGAGGGACGGTCCGGAGCGGCTCGGAGCAGGCAGGGGGCGCGAGTGGCCGCGGCGGCACGGGACGGGACGGTGCCCCGTGCTGCGGCAGAGACATTAAATAGTCCGCGCTCGCCGGTAGCGGGAGGCTCGCGGGGCAGCCGGGGCTGGGGGCGGGCGGGACCGCGGGGCGCGCCCGGGGCGGCGGGACCGGGCACAAATGGCCTCGTGTGCGGCCGCCGGACCGGCTGTGGGACCGTATCCCTCCGCCGGGCTGCGCGCCGAGAGTTGCGGCCGCCCCGGGGCCGTGCGGGCGGGGGCGGCGCTGCCGCGGGGCTCCCGAGGAGGAGCCGGGCAGGGACGCGCCTCGCTCGTCCCTGCCCCAGCGCCCGCTGCCGAGCCCGCGGTCAGACGGAGCTCCCGAGCTGCCGCCGCCTCGTCGCTCGGCCCCGCGCTTTGTCCCGCCGCAGCCCCTGCCGGCTCCTGGGCACCGCCGCTGCCCCGGCGGGCGGGGGCAGTGTGAGCCCGCCCGGGGCCGGCGCTGGCAGTGTGTCGCCGCCGCGTTCGGCTGCTGTGTTTGTAAATGGCAGGTTCGTCCTGTGGCACGGGCAGTCTGTGTGTGTGAACTCTGAGAGCGCTTCGGTGATTTTTTTCTTTTTTTTCTTTTTTTTTTTCTTTTTTACTAAAACATTGCTATTCAGGTTGTGTCTGACTGCTCCAGTTCTGTTTCATAAGATCCAGTTTTGTGAGTTCCTGCATGTGTCCTGGTCTGGGGAGAGATTAAGGCGCCACTCTAAATTTGCAGACACACAGAATGGAACTGGGCATGGGATATACTTCAGTATAGTTTTATTTATTTATTTAATAGAATTTAAATAAGCCGAAAATTCTTCAGAAATCTTGAAGATCCTGCCTGCTGGGATACCTATTTTGAATGTAGTTTGAAATGGAAAAACTGTACAAGTTACCTAATTTAGCAATGTCTAACTCTTACCTGTAATATCGCTCTAGATCAAAGTATATAGCTTAAACTTTCTGTCTGTACTTTTTCAAAACGAAATATGGACAAATTGCAGCATTTTTGAGGGAAGAAAATTGTGGCTGAGAGCCTCAAGTGGTTGCTTATCCTTGTTCTTAGCGGTTTGGGGATTTTTTGAGTGAGAGTTAGCTGTGGCACATGCTTATGTATTTTCAATGTTGGTACTCATTTTATCTGCATTTAAATCTACGTACTGGTTTCAGATACTGTGAATGTAATATTCTGCCTCTTTCCCAGGCTTTTGCACAACTTTATAGAAATCTATGGTTAGGTCTTTGCCATTAAAATTTTTGCTTGAAAAAAGATAAGTGCCTTTTGAGTTCAGGTTAAAATTTGATGGACCGAGGTACCAGTCACTTCTTTACTGTTTTTAAGTTATCATGTGCTTATGTTTCCCAGCTATGAATGCCTGAGTTGTAGTGGCAAATCTAAGATAAAATAGGCATTGTTATATTGTGTATATATACAGTGTTGGTATTGCATTTGATGGTGTTCTGTGAGAGAAAAGTTGGTATATATTCTTGTCTTCAATGTGTTGAAAATCCACATAATGTAAATTTGTGAGGGATTTGGGCTTTTCAGCTTATTCTTTCAGTTATTGCTTGTATTTACACCATGTAAAATACCTTTTCTTTTTTTTCCCGAACTTTTTCTAGTTTTTGTCCTTACTGTGGCCTTGTCTGAGTCTTGCAATCTTACCTCTTCTGTGTGTGTGGAAAATACCCAGCTGTTGGAGAATTGAAGTCAAGTATTTTCTTAACACGTAAGTCAGACTGCTTTGAAAATATGCCTTTAGAGATCCCTGGGATAAAAGAGAGCCCTTTTTTTTTAAAGATTGTTTCAAGTAAATATTTTTATTTGTCATGCTCCAGGAGCTTGTTGATTGTTGCATACTACCCAAAACTAATAAAATTAAGTGTAAGGTTAGTTAATTAAAGGGGATCTTAGACTGTGACTCTTTGCCAAATGTGTTGCCCAGTTGAGGACCGCATTGGCTTATCATTGAAAGCCTGAGCCTTGTTCTCTGCAGCACTTTACCCACTTCTGATTTCTATAGTTTTTATTGTAAACATACTTCAGGTTTCAGTGTCTGGCAGTGTAACCTTCTAAGCTGAGGGATGGGCAGCTACCAGCAGGATGATGTATTGCATCATGCAAGCTGTAATCTTTGTGTTGCGCCTGTGTCTTAAAATGTTGTTCAAGCAAACAAATCCAAATAATTTTTAGTTACTTATTCTTTATGAGGAAGTTCAGCTCGCTTCTATTCAAATAAGAGATATACCATTGGCAAGAGAATGCATTTTAATGCAGTACTCTTGGTGAAAATGGAATAATATGCACATGAGTTGTTCTTTTGTCAGGGCTCAGAGCTGGGTAATATCCCACATAATAATCATCTGTGTGGAAGATGGGGAGTGTGTCGTTGAGTTAAAAGAAAAATAAAAGTCCTGTACCCAAAGTGTTTCCATTTGGAGAGATTCTGAGGAGGGAGTGTTTGTCTCTGTGGTTTGTTGTTTTGGGGTGTTTTTTGGGTTGGGTTTTTTTTTTTTTGGATATCAGATGTGTAATTGAAGTCTTGGTGGTCTCATAGCTGGAGAACACAGTTAAGTGAATTTACTTGATATTAGAGTCTGTGTCTAGTGTCGAAGTCTGTTGTATTTATTATTTTCGAGAATTGTGCTGAAGTGCTAGTATCTTCTCTAAAGGAAGACATTAAAGCATGTGCTTAAAAAAATAAAGTGTTGCTTTTCTTGCTACATGATACAAGAACATGGACTTGAAAATTTTCAATCTTCATTTTCTTTGTCAGGTATTTGCATGTCTAATGCTAGATACTTCCTTCTCCCAGGACTGTGGGAAAATATTTGAAAGATCTTAGGGCCAGTGCTTATGATGGCTTGGAGATCCAGAAGCAGCCCTTGCACTTATTCCCAGTGAGGGTGTGATCATTCTTTCAGTTTGAATGTGAATAGATACGATGATCTAATGAGTTGCAAGTCTGTGTTGCTTCAGGGCGAGCCCCAGAGCAGTGGAGAGAAATTCACTAATCAGACTTCAGCTAACGATTTACTAACTTTTGTTAGGAAACAATAAAGTGACTTTGTGACTTGTACTGCAAAAAAAGTATTTTAGTAAAAAGTGTTATACTAGTAAACAAACAGTTCTTCCTTTCCAGTACTGCTTTTCAGAATTTACGTTAATTTTGCTGCTGCTCCAATTCTGCTGATTCTGTGTCCACATTCTGTGCAGGAGTGTTGTTCAGACATAGACTTGAGCTGATATAAATTGTTATGGAAACACTGACATGAAATCTGTAGTGAGACAGTGATGCTGACCACAACTGTTTGAGCCTTTTAATCCGTAGAGGAGTACTGTGGCCAGTCATGCACTGAAAATATTAACATGTACCCAGGAACATGCAATGAGAAACCTGAGAACTTGTATCTGTTGACTGATTCAGACTTGTGTGGTACTAAAGGTAGGCATGTGAAAAATTCATTGTAGGTCAGTGTGATTGGTTTTTGGTGTTGGTAAAACCAAAAAGGTAAAGGTCATATCTCCATTGGTGAAGTGGATCTTTTGTCAGATTCTGATTTTACTTTCTTTCCTTTTTAAGCACAATAGTAACTAATAGAGTAGCACACTTGAGTAATAAAAATGTAAAATTCTGTAGATTTTAACTTCTTTTTAATACTTCAGTTAGTGGCATGTCACAAAGGAGTGGTTTTATTTGCATGAAATCCCAACTGATTTATTACTTATTTGATTTCATGCAAATAAATCAAATAAGTAATAAACACAGGCTTCATTTTTAAAAAGTAGGTCTTCAGACTTTTTTATGCCTACAGGGTGGGAGAAACCCAAAATTTGATGACATGTGTCTTTCAGTAGATGTTCTTTAAAACATATTTTTCAAGTTTTATTTATTTTTAAAAAAAACCCCACCAAGTAACAAACCAAGAAACACCCCCAACACAAACAAACAGAGGTTATACTGTAATAGGTTTTTTTGCCTCATCCTTTTTTTTTCACCCCTTGAGTAATATTATAAAAATTAACAACTTCAGAGATTGGCCTATATTTGTTAGTGAATTGTAATAGGTGTTCTAATTGCATTAGTTTTAAGAGTAATTATTTGCTTTGTTTGTTTTTTAATTTCAGGAGAATGAAATGGGGAAGTTGTAGAGCTTTGAGAGTAACTTGGCGCAGTTGCCTCATTTGCTGCCGGAAGTAAGACTAAATCTCAAGAACTCATGTAAAGAAAAGTAGAACCTTAAATCATGTCATCTGAACAGGAACACTTTTTTTGTGACAGAAAGCAAATCAGTGTCTTAAAACACAATGCTATGAAGAATTTTTCTACAGACATTACTTTGAAGAAAGAACTGGTGAGTGATCCTTCAAGTATGACAATTCAACCAGCAATTTTAGATGTCAGTCTCACTTATGGACTAAAAAACGTGAAGATTGAACTGCCCAAGGTGAACATTCCAAATGAAGTATTAATGAAACATGAAGTTGATAGGTTTAGAAGACTCTTTCAGTGTAAGCAGCAAACTGCTAGGAAATCCGTAAGTCTAGAGAAAATGAGTGGAAGCAGTCTCAGTTGTTCAGAAGGAAGCCACTTGCAAATTAAACCAGAAGTGCAATTTGAAGAAGGATTGAAAACTGCAGCAAAGATACTGAATTTCACTTGTACGAAGTGCAAGGATAACATTAGATACAGCCCGAATGACCTACAGAAACATTTTCAGCTGTTACACTATGGTGAGTTGCCTCTGTATCCTTGTGAAATGTGCAACTTCTCAGCTAATGACTTTCAGTCGTTTAAACAGCACAGACGCATCCATCGTAGCACTTTAGTGAAATGTGAGCTCTGTAATGATGAGCAGATATACACTTTGTTGGCTTTGACAAAACACTTCATATCAAAGCATTGTGTAAATGGACACTTCCAGTGTGAAAAATGTGGGTTTTCTACCTATGATGTGGGTACGTTTGTTCAGCACATTCACAAACATAAGGAGATTCCCTATAAATGTGGAAAATGCCATCAAGAAAACTTTACAGAAGAGGAGCTCCAAAATCATCTGCTTGTTCATACCAGTATGTTTTCTTTTGGTTGTCCTTACTGCAGTTACAGCACATCACGGAAAGATTATCTTTTAAAACACGTCATAGCTTTACACAGAGACCACTTAATTGCAAAAGAAAAACTGGAAAAGGATAAATATGAAAAAAGAATAGTAAAGACTCCAGCAGGACTGAAGCTTGTGTTAAGGAGGTATAAAATGGGAGCATCAAAAAAACCACTCTGGAGACGGAAGAAGATAAGCAGTGGAAGTGACAGTGCTGGAGAAGAAAATACACAAGTGCTAAGAAGTGTGAATAAAATTCAGCCAAATGCTGAGGAGCTGAATCAGTGTGTGAGAGACGTGGAAACAAGTGAAGAGAAACATCAAGGTAAATACACGGAAAAGCGTCATTTCATGGGTGGAATGCTCTCTGCCACTACTGCACAATACAATAAGGCAGATGATGGCACAAGTTATGGCCTGGGATTATTGAAAAGTGCTGTTCATGGGCCAACAGTATTGATGTTTAAAAACAATAAAATATCTGTACCAGCAAATTACAGTGCGAAATTTATGGGCTTTAAAATGGTAGATGGAAAACAACATATTGTTATAAAATTACTACCTACAAGTAAGCAAAATGA